CACACCCACACCCACACCCACACACCCACACCCACACCCACACCCACCCCTTGGACTTTTTGATGGGCCTACCGTTTTTTAATTTTAAAAACTATAGGGTTCTGTAGCCCGTGAAAAGAGCAATCCGATAAGCTATAATAGAAGCTGGTTTATACGAACTTTAAAAAAATAATTAATCAAATATTTTATAGTATATGTAAAAATTGGCATAGTTTTTACATTGTGGTCTTGGACTTTTTGATGGCCCTACCGTTTTTTAATTTTAAAAACTATAGGGTTTTGTAGCCCGTGAGAAGAGCTATCCGATGAGGTATAATTGAAGCTGACTTTCTTGAATTTATATAGAGGAAACTAATCTGAAAGGCTATGATGTCCTTACTATGTATTCATAATAAGGTCATTCGAAATGATAAAGTAGGAAGTCCTCAAATGTATTGGAAAGTACTCGTCAGTTGAAGCTCTTTCATCCTATATATGATTGTGCTAAATATCGTGTGAAAAGTCCAATGGGTCAAATTACGGTCTTATGCGCCCCTGTCCTTTAAATTTTTATTTTTCTTATATTTATTAGAGATCAATTAGTTGGTTTAGAATGGTTATGAATATTACATGAAATTGCTATTAAGAGAATTCTTGTTGATGAAATGAATTTTCGTAAGAAAATAACAATTTCTTTTGATAAATCTGTTTTTTTAATTGTTAAACTAGGTAAAACAGTTGGAGTAATTGCATTTATTTGGATCTTAATTGAAGATAGTGCACTTAGTCCATTTCTTGTTATTGCACCACTATCAACACTTACAAATTGGTGTATTGAATTTGCACCGAATATAGGTAAAAAAAGACAAATATCGGGGAAATCTTTAAATGAATGTTTTCAGATTACTTGCGTGGTCTATCATGGAAATAAAGAAAGGTTAGCTGAATTTCGTAGTCAAATGAACGAATATCGTTAAACAAAAAAAAATCAGCGCCGATTGTTTTAACAACAACTGATCATATTATTATAATTGACAAAAAATCAATGGAAAGATAAATTTAAATTTTTGATAAAAATCATTTTAGAACGTTTTTTAAACGAGAACAATGGCCATCATTAGTTATTGATGAAGGTCATTGATTAAAAAATCCTAAATGTCAATGCTTTGTTATATTCAAATAGGTGTTCGATTTTTATTAACTGATATACTTATTCAAAATAATGTTAATGAAATGTTTTCATTAATGAATTTCCTTTTATCAGAAATATTTCATGAGCCTCTAAGAAAATCTTCATAGTTATCTTCTTTAATACAAAAAAAAACATTTCTTTTTTAATTAAAGAAAGTATTTGAACGTTATTTTGAAATTGATAATACAAATATGAATTTAAAAAAAAAATAAGAACGATCTGTTTAATATCAATATTTCATCAAGTAAAATAAAAATTATCGAATCAGTCCCATCTGTAGGTAGTTGTGTGTGCATGTCTTTTTGATTCTGATCCAGAAGAACCTGTAATTCCCTATCCATTCCTGATGCAATTGATGGTTCAATAGTTGTTTTTATATAGATTTTTATTCCATTTATTTTATGCTGTCGAAAAAAAATGATGTTAATTTATGTTTACCACCTGAAAAAGAAATAAAGGTGTATACGAAAATAACAAATCTTTAAGTTAAGTGGTATAATAAAGTCGTCGATGAAATTATTCGTCATTATATAAAAGATGTAAAACAAGAAAAATTGTTTTCAAATTCAATTTTGTTTCTTCTTAGCATAAAATAAATGAATTTGTACTAGTATTTGATGGTACTCAACGATGAAGAAGTCAACGTAAACCTGACGATATTCCATTGAAACCAAAGTAATGAAATATTTCATTTAAAAATAATTTAATAAAAGAATTTAATACTTTAGAGAAGATATTATTGCAAAGAAAATGAGAGGTTGTAGTGCCATATTTCTGCTTCTTCATGCTTGTACACATCCATATTTACTTGATGCACCACAAGATGCAAATGCAGAATTAATAACAAATAGCGGACAATTTATTTTATTAGATAAAATGCTTGTAAAATTAAGTAAAACAAATTATAAAGTGAAACATTCAAATCAATATGAGAAAAAACAAATCTAAAGAATTTCTATAGGTTTTGATCTTTTCAATATTGATGACTTTTCTTGACGTACTTGAAGCAATGTGTGAACATCAATATTATGATTATATAATATTTGATGGTAATAAAAATTTTGAAGAAAGAATTGATGCTGTATGTTTTCAATTGAATTAATCCAAAAAAAACTAAATAAATTTTATTTTTAGATTACAACATTCAACAAAGACCCGATGTCTTCTTTTTTTTTTGATAAGCACAAAAACTTGGATTTTAGGTTTGCATTTAATGGGAGCTAGTACAGTGGTTTAATTCAATTTAGATTGGACGATTGGGTATTATATGAAGTTATAATTGATCATTTTTTTTTGAGTTTTAAATTTAATATTAGAATCTAATGATTGATATTCAAGCACAAGATCGTGCTTATTGTATAGGACAAATAAAACTAGTTGTTGTTTATCGATTTATTGTTCGAAATATAATTGATGAACATGTATCCCGAGAAGAAAGCATCCGTTTTGACTAGAAATTTGAGGGTATTCTATGGACTATGAAGTCTACTTATGGACAAAATTTCAGATTGAAATTCGTTTCTTTTGATTCTTCTATATTCTGTCGAAGGTACACTTTTTCCAGATGCCATAGTGTGACAGTGAATGACGTCCGAAATTCAAGGCTGATTTCATAAGATAGGTAGATGTAACGCCCATCAATATCAATCACAAAATCAAAGCTGCAAGTTTTGTCTATGAACAAATGAAGTCATCAAAACAAAAATTTTTTTAATTTTAACTAATTAATTATCTCATTTAGAAGTCAGTTAAAATCGTTTTGTTCCTCAATCTATAGACTATCATACAACTGTAACCTGAAAAACTGTTCGTTTTTCAATATGGAATTTTGTTACATTTTCTCTATCAATTATCATAAAGTGTCTTGGTCATTTAGAGTTTTCATTTAATTCATGGTATCACAAAAAAATAAATATTCAATATAATTTATATGAAATTAATTAATAAACATATGTTCTCGATCAAAATAAGTTTTTAAAGAAGAATAAGTTCATAGAGTCGATTTAGAAGAAGATAATTGATTTCGAATCGTTAACTGTATTTTAAAAGTAGTAGCTGTTTTTATCTTGTTTTTTTTTGTAACTGTCCGTAGGTAATAATAAAAACGAGAGAAGAATTAATTTGATGTTCATCCTATTCTTCTCTCTATCAACAAAAGCTATTTTGCATTTTCTGATGTCGAACAACGATGTTTGTTCACTTATTTTCAATCAAAACTTCATCGTTTAGTATAATGATTACATCTTTCTTTTTTCTCCTTAAAATCATTTGATTCTCGATGTTTCTTACTATATAGTAATATATTTGCAAGAATTTCACCATGGTATGATGTGCTATCCGTAGCAGAACATTTTGTCGTGTTGACAATTAGTCACATTTATATAATGATTATGAACCGATGGATATTTTTTCCTAGATGAGTATTTAAACAGTTCATCTTAATGGTTTTTCATGATCAATTAAACAGGCAAATCACAGAAAAAATGGCACATCCGGTATGTTCAGTTGGCGAGATAGGCATAAGAACACTGTTACTTTTGCGTCATTTCATTACCATCATAAGAGAAAGAAGGTATCATATCGAAGCGATAGGAGTGAACATAGGAAAATAAGAGTGCAATGATAAAAGATAATCAAAATGGTCGTATAGTTTGTTAATTCGAAAATTAGCGGACAAATACAATTTGTTAAAAGTTATGTCGCTAACATTCCCCAATAGCAGAGAATTCTCTGATTCTGTCTCAAGTTGAAGAAAATTATTAAACGAAAGCATTGACGAAAGTGAACAAAGAAGGCTCAATGAAAGAAAAAAATTTAGCTAGTGTTGATCTTTCTATTTCAATAATTGAACGAAAATGAAAATAGAAATGATGTATTCTTGACCATTATGTTATTCACTAATCTTTCAGATACCTAGAGACATGCTTGCTTCTTCAAAGAACTTTTCCTATTGGAAGAGATATAACCTCCCTATAGTGGACACTTTTGAAAAGTCCCATAGGTGTTCACTATAGACGTATTGTAAAAAGAAAAGAATTTGACTATAGTTAAGATGTTGATGAATTAACTGTATTGCCTTTTCTGACCTATAAAAGAAAAATATCAATAAAAAATATAAACACGAAGAAATGGTATTGTATTTTTCCTTAAAGGTTTTCAAGTTCGTCCAAATGGTATTAATTTTCTACTTAATATTAGTACTCAGTATCAACATTGAAGATCGTTAAATAAATTAAAAAAGGTACATTAATAAAAAAATAGATGTATTATAAACTAGAAAATTGATTAAGAAAATCACCAACATATCTCACAGTTCTTATCAATAATTGAATTTCATCAGAACCGTACCAATCATCTCGAATATTTTGGTCAATTTCGTTAGATTTACCATTAGAATCGTTTTCATTTGGTGGCGATCGTATGTCGCCCATAGAATAATCTGATATTTTCTATCTTTATTTCCTCTCTACTAAATCAATTAGTCATATGTGATACAAAAATTTCTGCTTCTTTTATTTTTTTCTTTCACATAACTATTTTTTTTTTTACAAGTCATGTCTTTGTTCAATCTTCACATTGGTAATCATGATCATTTAAATTAACGATGAATAATATGTTGTTTGATTGCATTGAAGAAGAGACCTGCAATACGATAAGCACTTCGTCCAATTCCAACAAAATGATTCAAGAAATTTAACAGCTCGACTTGTAATGAGACCATTAGTCCAAGATCTAAAGTCACAAAATTTTTACTATTTAATGTTTAAGTTTGCACAAAAATTTGTGCAAATTCACCTGCATTATCAGCAGCCTGTGGAATATCTGTTGGATTGACATTTCCATTTCCTTGATTATTGTTTAACAGAAAATTCTCGTCAATCTCGGGATGGACAATATAAACCTCAAAAAAAAATGTCCTTCATCACATATCATGAAGCAAAGAAATATAAAAAGACGAAACACAAATGAAATATGGACGAAGAAATCCACTTACTGATCGAATTTGTAGTGAAGACAATTGTCTACACATTTCGAACTCAGTTTAAAAAATGTTAATAGATAGAAAATTTCTATACAGAAGCATTATTTCTTTCTTGATATAATCTATACGTCATCAAGATAATTTATCTGAACAAGAAAAAAATGTTCATTCGCGAACAGCGGACGACCGTTCTTTAATTATGACCTTTTCAACTGTTCAATAAAACGGAGCACGACAAAAAGAAAAAGAAGATGAAACATTTTTTTTATTTCTGTGCAATTAAAAATACTATATCTGGCTCAATTTTTTTTTCTTCTTTTAAAAATAAAATTTATCAGTCAAATTTCATTGAAATTTACTTTTCCCTGTCTTCTTCTTATCACTACTTGAACTTGTCTATCTAATGCTTGTTCAGATGCTGTTTCAAGTCGCGATGATGTTATTCGATCACGCCGGGTTTGTACAGACTGCATTTGCACATGCTGTATGTGTGCAGAAGGAACTTGACCAGATTCTTCTTCTACACCTGAATCATCGAGTTCGTCGACCACTCTTTGCAATGCGACCAATGGATGATACATTCTAAAATTACAAAGATAACAAATTAGTTTCTGGCCAAGTGTAGAAGCGAATGCACAGTTATTCATGTATCAACTTGGCTAACTACATTTTCAATAAGAAAATTTATATAGCCAAGCATATATATATTAGGTTGGCAACTAAGTCTTTGCGTTTTTTTCAAAAATTTTAATTTTATTTTTGAACTTCAAAAGTACAACTAGCTTTCAGTTATATATGTACCACTAGTATCTATGACTTGTCGCCAGCGTTCTGGTAAAGACAGGATCCCGCGTTCGTAGAAGTCCTTGGATTTTTGATCAAAGAAGTTGACGATATCCATTTTTAGGTCGTTCTCGTTGTCGAATTTTTTCTCAACCAAATGATGAGAGAGAGAACGAAACAAATGGTAGTCCGTTGGAGCCAAGTCAGGAGAATAAGGTGGATGAGGAATGGTAATCCATCCGAGTTTCAATAATTTTTCACAGGTCGACTTTGCAACATGTGGTCTTGCATTATCATGCAAATAGTAAATTCGATCCTGCTTTCCCTTGAGTTTTTCGGCAATCCGATCCAATTGTTGACAGTATAGATCAGCAGTGATGGTGCAACCATTTGGTAGAACTTCCCAGTGAATAATCCCATTGACACCCCACCAGACGCTCACCATCACCTTCTTAGGGTGTAGGTCAGCCTTAGGTGTTGCTACGCCTGTTTGACCAGGACTTAGCCATTGACGTCTATGCGTGTAGTTAACATACAATACCCACTTCTCATCACCAGTGATAAGATTGCGTAGCCATTGATAGTTGCGGTGAGATGAGATTAAATCCATACATGCATCAACCCTGTATTGCAGCTGATATGGTGATAATTCGTGGGGTATCCAAACTCCATATCTCCATGTTTTGCCTAATCCGTGCAAATGTTTTTCCACCGCAGTATGGGAGCACCCCAGCTGATCTGCTAAACACCGTGAAGTCAATCGAGGATCTTGTTCGATAAGCTGCTGTAAGAGGTCCACATCCACCTCCAGTGGTCTACCGGGTCGAGGTAAATCGTCGAGTTCTAAGTTACCATTCTTAAACCGATTGAACCAATGTTGTGCCATACGAATAGAGAGTACATCCTCACCCATCGTGCTGCAAATGTTGTTGGCTGCTTCTGTTGCTTTATGACCCAGACGGAATTCATGAAGTAAAAGTATATGAATTTCTCTACGAGAAAGATTCATTTTCTGTTCGTGGTCAGCGTACATATCGATGACTTTATTATCGTTCGAAAGATATTCACACTCCCTTTAGATACCCTTAGTATGGAAACTTTTAGAACTTTCTCGAATGTTCTAGAACAATTTCAAAAAAAACGCAAAGACTTAGTTGCCAACCTAATATAATCCAACGCACATCTAACCCTGGAAAAATGTGATTACTTATTATGTGCGGATATACGTATGCGCTGGTGTTCGTATTTCTCTAAGATACAGAAAATAGTAGAAAGCAAAGTGAATTTATTTTTTTATTTTTTTTCCTATACAATCACTGTAGTGATGAGCATCCAGGGCATAAAATGATATTAAGATACGCACTATTACTATTCTAATCGATAAAATTCTACACGAACATTGGATAATCTACATCAATACTGTAATTGGACTTCCATGAGAACTAGTAACATGTGTACATCTACTTAACATTTGATAATCATTTTATTTCCTATTAATGTCAAGTATTAAAGAGCATAGAGTATTTTTGTCACTCTAAGATCTTGAATCGAAAAATTCTTTGGAAATGCAATAATCATCTTAGATTCATAACTACTAAAATCTACTGTTGAATTGGCATCGCTATCTGCAGCACTTTTTGCTATTTAATTTTTGCGTATCTATGAATAATGGTTGAGAATATAAAAATG